AATGGTTCCTTCTTAATGTGGTCTTTATGACGCTCCTGCACATGCTGGAGCCTACCTAGCGAGGTTTGCTGTTGGTAGGCCTATTGAGTGTTAGTCGCGCCAGCCGCTAGCCGCTAGCCGCCTGCGCCCTCCCCTATCACCGGTCTTCTCGACTTTGTCTTGATATCGGGTGCAGCTGTTGAAGTGGTGAGAGAGTGGGGTAGATTTTCCACAAGTATACTTTCACTGTAATCCCGCGGGAGTTATCACGTTGCTTCAGCCTGCTGAAGCTCGTGGTGGACATCGTCGGGAGCGACGGTCGAACTGTAGTGTGTGTGTGTGTGTTATTAGATCCTATCAAAAGACTGCTGCCTAACGGGTTAAATCGCCTCTCGTGAGAATATTTTGCAGTGAATAGAGAGCTACTGTGTATACTGCCATGGCTCCCTCTAAGTGTCACCTTTGTGGCATTCTCATCGATGTGAGGTCTGAGCCGGCGTTATTGTAGCCTATTACAGGTAGTGGGCGGACCAGGCCGTGCGTAGCACGCTTAGATGGGCTGTTTTTCAGCCAGCACGTTCACATCTGCCTCCTGTCCTCTGCACATTTTCTTTGCATCGAAGTCGGATGCGTGAGAGAGGTAAGAGTGCGATAGGTGCGGCGCAAGTTTGCCTAATTCATGGTCAAGTCACCACTGCTGCGCTCACTCCGTGGACTTCTGGACGGTGACCGTCATCTCTGGTTATAATCGAGCTATCATTAGACTTTTTGATGACATCTGTGCCTGAGAGACGGAACTCATGTTTGTAGATAACGATAGATGCAGGCGAATTATTTCGTCATACGCGTTAAACATATTAGAGAGTTCTTAAGTTTTGCTAACAGTTTTTCCTACCTTATCCATATCAGTAGTGTAGGGTCCTGTTAATTTTGACGCATCTTCAAGAAATCACCAAAGAGTCCAAAAAAGAATTGGAACCACTTCGGTACAGGTCGTTTTTAGCGCGTCTTCTCCGAATGTATCACGTGATTCTACAGAAAACATGCTTTTATTGCACTTTATTCAACGGCTATTGTAAAAAAAAAAAAACAATTTCAAACGTAAACCAAGAAAAAGTGATCCAACCAACTTAGGCTATTCGATACACATAAACACGCAGAACTGACAAGTTTCAACAGGATCCTACAGGTCACTGCGTCGGCCTCTACCACAGATCGCACAAACGATTTGGTAACCCGGCTTATTAGTCAGCACTGCACACTTTGTACTGCCTCCGAAAAAAATAGTTTTAATTTAAAACGGTTTTCCGTTAGTAACATTTTATGACATAATTCCAATCATTTCTCTTCAAAGCATTTACCTGCATAATCAAGGCTCCTCCCGCCACTTGTACTTACTT